CCCTCTTGACTTTTATGTTTCATGTAAGAAGTTCAGGAGTATCCAAATTCCATAGAGGAGAAGAGGAAGGAGGTTTCTCAATGAATGGACTTTTGATACTGGAAATAATTTCTAATCAAGTGTGTAGTATTACTTACATCAGACAACAATCTGTCATCTTTACATGATCTTCCTCCAGCAAAACCGATTTCTTTCTCTGGGTCTTGCTTTCATAACAGTCATAAATGTCAAAATGTTTCTTTCCCCAATTCTGAATTTCTTTCTGATGTTATTCCTTCGTTATTAGAATATAATCTTCAAGAACACCCAGAAGCTGGAGGAGTTGAAATCCCAGCTGAATTGGGACCAGCAGGCATTGGAGGCCTGGCTGGAGGAATCAGCGCGCAAAGATGAAGATGCTATGACCTTGACTAAGTACACTAAGATGGATGATGCTAAAATCAAGGTGAGCCAGACAGTCTGATGCACTACATAATTGGGGTAAGAATCGTCCTGTTTCTGTAGAATGCTAGAAGGGTAAGCAATCTGTATTCATTTTACTTGTCAATTAGAAGTATCAATCCATTTACTGCCATGGGGAAAGGGTACAAATATCACTCCATTGTAACTATGCTCTTTGCCAGTAGAAGCAACTTATTAAGATCTTTGTTAGTCAGACATCAAATATTGCATGAACCCTAATGATCTCAAACCAACCAAACTCCAACCATTAACACAGTTTGTTGGAATCTGTCAGGATGAGTATTGTACTGGTATGTTTTATGTGGAATTAGGCATACTACAAATATGTTTAATATATGGTGTTGGGTTTTGCAAGGATGGAAGGGTATTAGTAAATCCCCTAGGGAGTTTCACATTTGTGCTACAGTGCACTTGAGCCAGTCCTATGGAGCCCTTGAATGGAACTATTGATTAGCAAAGTTTTGTGTTAACAAATATCCCCCACCCAGAATCAGTGGTACGTGATATGCATTGAGTAACATTACTTTTGCTAAGACAATAATATCTTTACTAAGCAAATTTCAGTACTTGCTGCTTAACAGCTCTATTACGTGGGCCTGTGAAGACATTAAAGTGGAGTTGTTCAATCTAATCAGTTATTTGCTAATGATCTATTGTAATATGTAACAAGAATGACTATGTTTCCTGGACCTGGAGCGTCAGTCACTGTGTACCAGTGACATTTACATGTAATTCAGTCTTACCCTTATTTTTTTTACATTTTCAGGAACTCTCATTACGAATGGAGCGTATGACTGATGAAAGTCATAAGAAGAGGAAACAATTAGACCATGAGATGACAGAGACATTAACTGCACAGGTAGACGATAGCTCAAAAATGATCAGAAATTACTCACAAGACTTATTTGTTGACAAGAATTAGAAGTCATTACTGCAGCTGCACCACGCTTGTGAACAGGTACGTGGGCGTCACATGCCTGTTCCACCTGTAGAGTGTTGTGACTTGGCAAAGTATATGGCACCTAAAGTTTTAGAATATGCATGTGATTGTGTTACCACTGCAGTCATAGTCCCTCCTTGGAATAGTCGTAGGCTTTGGGCTTTATTTTGGCTCAATGTTGAGTCATTTCAGGAAAATTTGGTTTAGTTTGACTGATGTGCTCACTCACATGCTATAACCCAAAACCTGTGCATTTCTCTCTGGAAAGTCTCTGTTATCCCTACAAGCCATACACAGTGGGGTATGTCTTCAGCAAACTCTTATATGTAGGAAACAGTGGGTTTGAGTCCTGTGCACAGTACTTCTCTATTTCCCAAAATTATGCAAAAGCTGATGTTGAATTTTAGAGGATTTGGGTTGACTTGAAATATAGTATTGTTAAGCTGAATAAAATTAAATGTAAATGAACCAAAAATAGTGATTGCTGGAATATCGTAGCTACTTAGTAAGTTTATCCTCAGTAAGTGTAGGAAGTAATGACGAGTAACACACTGAGATACCACTCAGTCCGTGTGTTGAGTAGTATTATGCCACAAGTTGTGTCTCACAGTTGGAGTTGGACAAGACAGCTGAGGAGTTCCGCAGGGCACACAATGATCGTCAGGAGTTGATCCGGCAATGGGAGGCAACAATTGAACAGATGCAGAGACGAGACAAGGAGATGGATATGTTAGCTGATGTGAGTACTGACATACATGTCTAGGCCTTGCAACAAATCAAGGGGATTGACTGTAGAAACCAAGTGCATCTGACTTGCTAATATTGCCTGTAGGTCACATGTACCTAGTTGTTTCCTTCTTTTATTTGTAATCAGTACTGTATAGTTTAAATTTATTGTTTACACCGGGCTTTTACTGGAATGCAATTAATGTAGCCCTGTTGATCCTACCTACTTTGCCTTAGACTTTCAGTGCTTGGGTTTTGTTTAACAATCTATTTTAGTGAACTGTTAGCAAGAGGAAGCCTTTGCCAAACCAGTGTGGCCCATTAGGCTGGTGTTTATCTTCAGTTTCCATGGCATGAAACCACTGAGTTCCTAATTCTGAGTCATTTACACTAAACACTGGGCCACCCCCCCAACAAAGTGAACATATAATGTTAGGATTTTACTCTGTCAGATGTGTTCATACAAAAAAGCCTTAGATTTATGTTCAGTGAACTGAAAGTTAATTTGGTATTAGACTTCAAAGTCACATCAGTGGAAACTTCAAAAAATTGTAACTTGACTCACTGATACGTTGTAAAGTAATGTGTATGGTGATTGGGTTAACCATTCCAGAATCTGACGAAAGTCAAGGCAGAGGTGTATGACCATGAGAACAATGTGAAGGAGAAACAACAGTTTTTGGAGAATGAGGTTGAGAATAACAAGGAACAACAGAAAAAGCTACAAGCAACAGACCGGGCAGCAGCTAAGCTGAGATTAGACTACAGAGATGCAGAGACACAACGTATTCAGTTTCAGGATGAGGTACCTATCCGTGTCTATCTACACCACACGTAATGACAATGCCAAACCCAATATATGTACTTCAATACCCAACAAATTCATGCATGCGCAGTGTGAAATGCTCCCCATGTATTTGTTTGGTATGGCCTCTCTAAGGTTAAAATCTCCTTGAATATGAAATGGCAAAAATCATAAGAGTGTGGCATAATATACTTGTGTTTGTAAAAGACAGGTGTTCCACCTGAACATGCTGAGAGTTTTCATGAGCCTGGCAGAAAAATTTAACCTGAAGATATTAAGTAAGAGGAGAATGAGGTTCCTTCTTGGGTTTCACTCATGGTTGGCAGTATTGATCATGAAATACTCATCCAGATCATTGTAGCATGAATGAGGCAGAATTTAGGAGACAGTACAGCAGTTGAATCAGATAATCTATGTGTCCATTGTTAGTTTAGTTAGTAGGATAGCTGGTAAGATTAAAAAGTCAATATGTCTTTTTTGCATTTTGTGTTAAATTAGCTGGAAACTTTAAAGTTTACTGTGGCCAGAACAGCAACAGACTTGGAGGGGATGAGACGACAAGTCAACGACTTAAAGAAAGATGTGGATGACAAGAAAAACAGGTTAGTATTCCAAACACTAATAAACCACTATGATGTTTGTCACTCTTTAATTGGTAACAGTTGCCAGTTGGTGCTTGGTGACTTCCTACAGTATTCATTCTTGTCTAAAAGTTAAAGAGTGGAGTTCAAACTTGATACTCCAGTCCTCCTACCCCAAAGACAGATAGAGGGGCTAGATATGTAGTGTGTAAGGCGAGACTGTATATGGTGCATATCTTGTGTGCATTCCATACTATGCTTGCAAATATGCAGTTATGTCAGCACCAATAGACTTCACTGCTGTGCAACAAAGCACTTTTTTTATTTCAGGCATATTGGCATCTCTGCACATTGAATTTGATGTAAACTGTTTTGCCTTGATCTCTCTCTCTCTCTCTCGTGCTATCAGGGTAGAGGATGCCAAGGCTAATCGTCAAGATCTGACAGCTAAGCTAAAAGCCATGTCAGATGCCTCACTGTCAGCAGAGGAGCGGGCTGCTATGATGGACCGTCTCCTCAAGGATGAAGAGGAAAGTCTTCATCTCTTGGACCAGGAGCTCAAGAGACTGCGAGACCTGCAGTACAAGAAAGCCCAAGAGCTCTTTGAAGCCAAGACCACTGAGAAGAACACCCAAGCAGAGATCCAAGGCTCCAAGGCAGCCAGTAGGAACCTAAGTAGCCGTATCAACAAGCTTGACCATGACTCCCTCAAACAACAAGAGATAATCTACAACCAGGTTAAAAGAAGTTCATTAGCTACCATGATGAAGCTAATTCATGTATTTTTGGCTCTTTCCTACATTATTCCATATTGCTTTTCCACATGTGAAAACTCTCATGTGTACTATCAAGACGTGAATAAGAAACGAGAAGTGCTCTGACAGTATCCCTTTTTAATGTGCCATATTACAGGTTCACATGACCTGTCCAGTTGATTGTCTAGTTCCTTCACTTATTACTGTTAAATATTCATAAATACCTCAGACAGTCACCCTATTCAACAACGTGCAACTGTGCTGTGTATTATAATTAACAATGCCCGCTGAGAAGTGATAATGCCTGCTGTGTCAATCATGCCCTGGCACCTGGATTTGTGGCAGTTTAATCAATTCTGATTGGTCAAGAGTCTGTGTGCACGTAGTTTGCCACTTGCGCGCCAAGTCAACACGACAAGATTCAATTTGACAACTTGCACAAGGAATATACCGTAAAGTGGACAGGGGTGTTTTGGAAAATGAAAGTAAATGTCTACAATAGAATCAGAAATCCATCATATATTGACTTCTTTTGACTCTCTGACTAAAATAGGTATTTATGAATGGAAGCATTTATGAATAGGAACATTTATTCCCTTAGTAATGACTGGTTGTTAAAAAACCTTTCTTGACATGTAGGACAGTGGTAAATGATCCCAAAGTGATCTTTTTTCAACCACTGTTTCACCCAGTATAGGAGAGGATTTACTTGCTTTAATACATTGGGTGCTTTTTGAATTGAATTTTGAATTTTTTTTGTGTAAATCACATCCAAGGATGAACACCTTGCCAAAATCCATTAAGAATTTTTCACTGGTCATGAACAAAAAAGATTTGCAGTATTTGCTTTGTTAGAATACATGGCATGCATTATGGTGTATTTGATGAGGTTTCAAGCAGGAAACCATTTGATGACTACCCCGTGTTCTTGTAAGGCAGTCTCATAGGGTCCTTCTGGTCGTCTGCCTCCAGTGGTTGGTTAACTGTGTTTCTGAAATGTGTCTCTTGCAGGATTTCACTATTCAACAATTAGAGCGTCGCATAGCTCGCATCCAGGGTGAACGTAGCACAGAGGAAATGGATCAGCTAAACGCTCGTATCAAGGAACTGACGGCTGTATTGGAGGAGAAGAATAATACCTATCAACTGGTGAATACTCAGCTGAAACGACTGCAGGTAGGCTGTATGGCAGTGTACATAGGTTTCATGAAATGCTTACAATATCACATTGTAAACTGTTCAAACTCTTTGATATTCAGAATTAATTAATCAGAGGGGTAAAATGATAGCATAACAACTTTTTTCTCACTGCACCGTATTGGTTTGTAATTTGAAGAGTCACTATTTGCTTATGTTATAGGATGACATTCGTCGTGTGAAACGAGACTTGGACAAGAGTGGCACAGAGAAAGCTGATTTGACTAGTAAGATTGAGGAGCTCAACCTACACAACGATAGCTCCCACAGGGAACTCAGACGCATCAATCTCAAGAAACAGGTCAGAGAATACAATCTTTATCTACTGTCATAGGACAGATCAAGCTTACATGACTTAAATCAGTACCTTAGGCCAGTGGGAACATAGCAGGACCATGTAGTGATAGGGGAATACAGTTAAGCTATCTGCCATATTCACAGTAATCTATCACAGGACATTGCGTGAGGGCTGGCACATATTCTCCTGTAAGTGTACATGCATTGTGATTTTTGTGTTTGGACTGGTACCAAATGTTGTTTGGTGTTTGGACTGGTACCAAATGCTGTTTGGTGTTATTCAGACCAGTATTAAATGTCAAATAGTCGTCCATTGCCCAGCGGGGTAGCAGTCACAAGCTGTAATTAAAGATTATGTCATGCTGCTGTGGACTGTGCTTAGGTCAACCTTCAACACAAACAAATGATTTAATGTTCCCCTCAGATCATTTGTTTGTAGTTTTAATTATGGATGAAACTTTTCTGGTACTTGATTTTGACCAGAATTGGAGCAAATCTTGGCACAAGTCACTGTACCCAATTCAACTCTTGAGCTGAAGATAGGAATTGTAATGACTATTATTGATGTAATTAGGGACTTTCAAGTGACGATTGATGAACTAGAGGGAAGTATTTGTTTGTCATCCATAAGAGCATTACTCTGCACTAGTGGACTATCCTACTGCTGCTGCTAATGAAAACATATCCAGAATCTTCTTGATGTCTCAGCATGATGGATAACAACGTAGATGATTATCTTTAACTTTTGTGTTCATTTTTGGTTCTTTGTTAATCTCTTATTGACAGGATCTTATGGTAGAGGAGAACATCTTGAAGTTGGAGATTAAACGATTGAGGGACCAGCTGAATTCTCGCGCTGATGATGTCTTCTCATTGGAGAAACGTAGACTGCAACTAGAAACGGTCAGAAATCCCTTATTGTCCTGGAATCTCTTCGTAAATTACCAATTGCCATTACATTTCATTGCTCACTTTTTCATTTGTCATAATTAGACTTCCGATTCAGTTCCCTTTCACCAGTGTTTGACAAATTCTCTGTAACACGTCTTCCCCTTCGCAGTTTGCAGCTAGGTTCAGTTAGTTTCAATAACTATTTGGGGGCTAGATAAACTGAGTAAAAGTCATGTACTATTCACAAGAGTGGCTTTGTGAAGGCAAATGTTTGTTGTTAACAAAACCAAATCTAGTTGATTGCAAGCTTGTGTTTGTTTCCTGCCCAAATCAACAGGCAATGAAGGAGCGCCATCATGAGATTACAATCCATAAGGAAATGTTGCAGGCACAGTTGAAGGCAGCTGAGGAAGAACGGAGCACCGTCAGTGCTGAGCTACATGAACGTATCACTAAAATTGACAAGCTACGTAAGAGGTAGGGCAAATCAAATTCTGGCAGTGACTGTAGGAATTCCACGTCTTGTCTATGAGAGATTGAGAAGTGATTTGGATTGATGTAATCACATGGAGTTCCACCATTGCATTTCTGTATCACACACTAATACATTTTGTGGAAGCTGCTAAAGTGTTCATGTGAAGAAATATTACACAAAGGAGACTCCGTGAAACTGACTGGTATCACTGTGAGGTTTGTTTTATTGCTCAGTAAATCTTGAGTTACTCACCTGGTGTGTATTGACTCACCAACCCTGATAATCCTCCCGTTGTTAAATCATTCAGAAATGGTGAGGGCTAATCCTGCTTCAGCCCTTACCTTTATTCATTCTTCAAATTGAGTTTTACATTGATATCATGTTGAATTCATTTGTGTAGATATGAAATCTTGATGGTTTCCATGGCTCCACCTGAAGGTGAAGAGGACCGTTCTCAGGCATATTATGTCATCAGGGTAAGATGGTCTGTTTTACGGGTTATGAGATCAGGATGGAATAGATAGTAATTCTGTCATGGGCTTACTTCTCAATACTCACAGAAATGCTTGTAGGACGTTTGAATGCAGTGAACATTCATGTTTGTATGTTGTGCAAGTAGATGTTAGGGGTTTTGTCACTGTTGAATTCCTAATGAACCAAGACCTGACAAGTTAAAAATGGAGTCAGAATCTGTTTGAAATTTCCAATTGGGTATCAGACGGGTCCAAATGGAGATAGATGAGTCAACCTGTGAGATATTGTTACAAGCCAGATATTAGAGTTGATACTAAGCAATAAACTTGAATTGAGTTTATAACAGATGCCAAGATCAAAGTTTCGGCATGCACTCTTCTGTATTGGAGAACAACTTTAGCTGTCAAAAAAGTATGTGACCTGGTAACATTGATTTTACTATTTGCCTTTGAATAAGGCAAGCTTAAAAGTGAAAGATGGACAGAAAAAACATAAATCTAACAATATGTATGTATTTCTGTGTTACACATCTGTATTTTAAAAAAGAGATGTTCAATGTGTGGAGCAGCATTTATGGCCCGAAGACACATTTTTACAGACACATTTTTAAGCTGGGCCCATGATACTCTTGAATGGACAGAACAAACACTTCTTGTAGACTTCGTTGTCTTTTGTTATCTACTTGGAGTCAAATCATACCCTCACTGCCAAAGAAGAAAGACGTGAAGAGGTCTTCAATCCGTCATGTGTACGTGTCTGGTACACATATGAAAACTTTGCATTCAAAGACTAATTGATTGCATGCGCTAAGTGCAATCTAAACCAAACACACATGAATCTGTAGGTGCGTGAGGTGGGTTCCCACCAATGGATTGTCACTGTCATTTAAAAACACATCTTCTCTCATTCCTGCTCAAAGCGGATAGTGATAGTCTACTAGGGTGATGATTATATGGATATTCACACGCAACCAGATATGATAAATCAATGTGTTCTTGTTGACAGGCTGCACAAGAGAAGGAAGAGTTGCAGCGTAAGGGAGATGAGCTGGATGCTAAGATCCGCAAAGCAGAGAAAGAAATCAAAGCATTGGAGAATACACTACGCTTGATGAATGGACGCAATGAGCAATATCGCAAGAGTTTCAACAGGGTGACTGAGACTAGTAAGTAGGAAAGGTTGACCGCATTCCGCCAATTTCTTCTCTTGTTTTACTTCCTGTCAGTGCCATGGAATACTGCAAATGTAATTGTATGGATGTTAGCTGGTGTTCTGATATACAGTGCCTCCGGTTTGCGTAATTCATTCTTGACTTGGTATGCTTTTTACCATTTTGAAATCTGCCTTGAGCAGAAGCATGCCCATATCAGTTGAAAAGAGCCATCTTGGTGGGGAGCGTTCATTTTCTTGACTGCGATGGGACTGCAACATTTGCATGTCATAGTTGTTTGTGAACCAGTGATTTGCAGCTACATGTACCACCAAAGGAGCCTCTGTTGCTAGGAAAATTGCTCCCTCTCTTGGTCTAGCTTTGGACCCACATGCCTAAATGCTTTTATCAATAATTGACTTATTACAGAAGGTCATCTTTATCAAGCTTCAGCAGAGATGCATGAAAAAGATAAATTTTATTAAAGTGTCTTTCGTGATTTATCTTTTGAAAAGGGCAATAGTTTCATAGGCCAGTTAAATACAGAAATTGGCAAAGTAAAGAAAATATTGACCCTGCTGAAGCAGATTACCTGGCAAAAAATATGATGCGATGTTTACTACTTGTGGCCTGTTTTTAACTGGTGTTTGTTTTAAATTCATGATCAAACGATTCCTGCTTGGTATCCTCATGATACTGGCCAGATCATTTTGAAAGGCTAAGAATTATTTTCCATGTGCTTTTTACGCAGTCTTCTCAAGAGTTCTACAGTATAAATATTCTCTTGTCCCAAGCTAATCAGGATATTAGCATCGCGTCATTCCTTGTGAAGCATTTGTAGGATTTGTTTAACCCATCAAATTTTCCAGGTGAAGAATATGAGGAAAAACAGCGATTAGATGAACAGCTAAGGGCAGCCATGGATAAATACAAATACAAGAGACGACAGATCCGTGAACTGCAGGATGACTTGCAGACCATGAGCAATACCATGGAAAACCTGATACGGGATCAGAAAGCATATGAAGAAATGGTGGAAGAAAAGGAGGTAGGGCAGTGTTTACTACAAAATCGTGACATGCTACAATAAAGGATGGAAGAGAAGGACGTAGGGCAGTGATTATTACAAAATGGTG